ATAAAAAAATATAATAGTATAATTTTTAAGTTTAATAATGATTATTTTTAATAATTTTTATAATAAAATTATTTTTTTACTTAAAAATAAATTAAATTGATAATATTTATATTTTAAATTTATTATTTAATTATTATAAATTTAGTAAATAATTTTTATCAAATGATACGAAAAATTTAATTAAAACTATTATAAAAAATTATTTTTAAATAATATTTTTTTTGATAATTTATATCAAAACGCAACCGCAACCGTAATGAACCATTCACTTCTAACTGCACTCACCCGCAATCGCTACCAACAGCAACTTCTCAACCAATCAGTACTAATCATTCATAATCGCTATCAAACGTTCTGAAAACGCTATCACCCGCAACCGCAACCGCTGCGGCACAACCAGTCGAACCCTATAATAAAAGAAAATTATAGTGAAAAAAGTTTAAATGACGAGATAACAAATATTATATATATGCAATGAGTGAACTTTTCCTAATTATATTCCAACTCTAACAATAAAACGGTATAACCGTGATATCAATTTTTTTTTTTATCAAAGTTTATGGCAGGGGTGGCCATTTCGGATTCGGTTCGGTTAAATCGGTTTCGGTTATTTCGGTTATAGAAAAATTATAACCATTCGATTTTTATATAAACTTCGGTTCGGATTTGGTAAAAAATTTATTTTTTCAAAGAAATTATCAGGTTTTTCGATTATTTTTTTATTCGGTTCGGTTCGGTTCATTTTTGATTTTTTTAGGTTTAAGAAAATAATAACCGTTCGGTTTTAATATCGGGTTCGGTTCGAATACGGTTGTCTTATTCGGTTCGGTTCAACTCACTTGTTCGATTAATAATCGAAATGGTCACTACTCCTAGTTTATGGAATATGGAACGTTTGCTTGCTGTTAGCCAAATCCCCATCACCGGACACAGGTCAAGTCATCATAGTTGTTACCAGAGATGGACATTTCGGTATTCAGTAATTATTTAGATTCAATTCTTTCGGTTCTATTATAATATTTATCAATTGATTATTATATTATAACCGGTTCGGTTCGATGTTAGAAAGAGTTTCCCGAATACGGTTCAAGAATTTTGAACTCGGTTATGCGAAGGACCCACTTCTACTTATTACCCCCTCATGACCACTGACCTTGTGTTTGGATACAGTGTTCCTTCAATGTACAGATTCACCGTATAATGATAAGATATCTCTCCCTCACTGTTGAACAATTGCAAACTTCTACTTTCACAAGCAAATATCTTCTGTAACCATGGCCATTGTTACAGATAATGAAACAAACAAAACAGAACCAACACAAAAGCAGAACAAAACGATCTGAATCAGAGCGTTTCTGTAACGATTTTAACTGTCAGCTCCAGCTGACGCGTAAACGGAAGAAACACAAGGGAACCAATACCGGCGTTTTCCATCTCTGTGGCCGTCGTCGATCATAGCAAGCCCCTCCTGAAATAACGTTTTAAGAAAGAAAAGAGAATTTCATTCGCCTAACTGGACAGCAGACAGCATTGCTGTTCTTCCATTACAGAGTTTTAGATGTAACCAAGATTAGGTTATGCAACGGAGGAGGCAAGTCTTGAGTATAGACTTACTTCTAACAATGTCTCGAGGGCATCTATGACCCGACCAGATTTCCACGAAAGCCGTCTCTGTACCTCTTCCACGGTCACAAAGCCTTGACCCTATACAGATAGCAATATTGCAGGAAAAACATTGGCTTTTCAGAAATTACGCAATCGATGTTTTCATAGGAAAAGATCCATGACTATAACCTGAGCAAGCTCCAAGATTTGATTATGGTCTTTGTTCAACTCGGTGGGAACAGACCGGATAAGCTTTCTCTTCCCAACTGTGATCACTTCAAACCCGCTACCCAGTACCTGAGTTGATTAACGACCACGAGATATTGGCAAGAACGCATCAAATTTCGTGTTTGTCAACAGGTTTATAAAACATGACTAAGATACCTTTAACTTGCTGATAGCTCGAAGACAATCATCTTCGGTCACGGCTTCACGATCTTTTTTTCTTCTCTGACGAAGATGGCTACACAGCTCCTGCAAGCTGATTAAACCTCCGTTGTGTAACCTCGTAAGCATGCAAACCTCGATAATCTGAACTCCTGTTTGATAAATTAACTACTTTTCAGGAAACATTTTACATCATATAAGGCTGTGCCTTCCGCTGTAGAGAGCAGATTTGAAACAGAATGACACTAAAGGAAACAAGTTCAAATTCAAAACAAGAAAATGAACCATTTGGATATGCTATCAAGCCCATCCGAACACAAGGATTAAGTTAGTCGTATCCAAATGTGAACTTGAGTACTGCGACAAAACACAACTATGTCAGATAGATAAGAGATTAAACATCGTACCCAGTTCATAATAGAAGTCACCAATTCCCAGCAGTTCAGCCCAGAAACCCTTGTTCGAAGCCAGAGGATCCACCCCGACTTTAGCACACATTTCATGGAATTGAGCCCTGAAGGCAGGATTTTTACGGATGTCATTCTGCAACAAAGCCAACGTGCCTCCCATTTCAGCACAATTTACACGTTAAAGAGAGAAGAAACAATGATTTTGTAGAGTTCTTCTATCACCCATTGATCAATGGCATTAATATCGTCCTTTTTTGTATGCAAATAGAATTCCAGACTTCCATAAACAGGAGGGAACCTCAAAATCTCCGGCATCGTTCAAAGACCAGTTTCTTTTCCATAACTAAGAATTGGCATAAGAACACAGAAAGTACAGACAGAAAATTTCATCGAAATTAATGCGAAAAAATTGGACCTTGTGTTTACGAGCGAATTCTTCGAGCTGAGACCGAAACGTGGCAAGCTGTTCTTTCATTAGATCCGTCCGTAGCTTCGCTACATTTTCTCCGAGTAATCGGTACTGATCCTGGAAGATGATTACGGTAAAACATAACATCAATCACTATTGAACAAAAGGGTAATCATGGAAACAGATTCAACGCCAGAGACAGCGACACCGGACGATCGAATCGCCCGGAAAATTACAAAACAGAAATTGGGAAAATAAGCAAAACCCTAGCAGCAGCAGCCTTTTGCAATCCTCCGATTCCCGGTCTCCGTCTCATCTCTGATCCCTGGAGTCCTCTTCCACAACTGAGATTCTGACAAGCCCGGAAAAAAATCCTTCCGTGGTGTAGAGAAGCCGACACGCTGCTTAAGGTAATGAAAATCTTTGGAAACCATTGAACAACAAATCAGATTGGCGCAGCGGAAGCGTGGTGGGCCCATAACCCACAGGTCCCTGGATCGAAACCAAGCTCTGATAAATTCAGTGTGGCTTCCGACTTTTTTTTCCTACTCGTTTATTTTTTTTATTCTGTTTTAATTGCGGTGATGACAAGAGAATCTGGCGATCTGTTCAGATCAGAGAAAAATCTATATAAAAAAAAAAATCCACAGTCTTAATTCAAATTCGAGATACAATTCCCCTTCTATATTTGAGATTTTCTGTGAGAAAAATCAACTAAAAGAAACTTTCTATGAGTCTGAATCCCTTATGCGGAAACCCCAGTAGCTTCCTTGGGTATCAAGAAAAGGAACAACATGGGAATGTAAACGCACAACACTTGAACGGCTAAGCCCAAGAACAGATTGTCAAACGATCCTGAAGATATTCTCAGAACTGAAGCCAATCCTGCTCCCACAAACGACCCGACCGTGTTCCCAAAGTTGTTAATCGACATAAAGAGCGCGAAAAGCGTTCCTTCTATCCCCGGAGGACATAACCGACCCGACAAGATCAAGAACGGCATGAACCTGCAAGAATCATGGTCGGGTTTTTTTGTTGTCTGGTGATTGAAACCATAAATGGGTGGATAATGTTTTGTGTCTGGTAAAGTGAAAGAAACGAGAGCACATACTTCAGTTGATTGATTGCGTCAGCAAGAGCTGAACCGAAGAGCACCATTGTCTTGTCTGATACACTCAACTCCAGATTGGTTCTGGATACAAGAACCATATCTAGGATGATTGTCAGAGACAACCCTACCTGAGCCCACCTGCATTGATGTTTTGTGGATTAGGAAACCAATGGAGCAAAAGCAGAAAGATATGTATAGGTGAGGCTTACATGAGAGATTTTCGTAGCTTCATTTTCGTCAGATATCGGTTGTAAATGAAGGTTCCGAGCATGAGACCTAACCAACCAACAACACGGGCGCTCCCCAAAAAAGATGCATCCAATTTCAAGACCTCGGTCTGATAATAGAACATGACTGTAGATAGGTTTGGGAATGTGACATGAGCGATGAAGAACCATGTCATTGGTCTGAAAATCAGATAAACAAAAAGATATCAAAAAGGAATTATATCATTAGTTCCATAAAACCTACTCATGGAAATGTACCGATCATTACCTCAAAATGATCGGCTGCTTAAACGCACGACCCAAACCATAAGCAGCTGCTTTCAATGACTGGAACCACTGTGAGGCCAAAGACTCGGGGCTTCTTTTCGTTTGAGATTTCTCATTTACAGTTTCCTTCCTATTTTTCTTCTGACTCTTCCTTCTTCTCGGAGCATTGACGCTGGACTTCTTTTCGGACAATAGATCTCCATCAGAATCATTGCTCATCTTGCTTTTCTCTTCAAAGCCATTTGAATCCACCATCTCATCTTCAACGGGAATTTCTTCAACCAGAGCACATGATAGTAACTGCAGTGCCGGTAGTACAGTGAAAAGGAGGAATATTGCATCAATCCCTAAGTTGTTTAACGCATACCCTCCTAACAAACTCCCACATATTCCTCCCAAAGCCATGGCTAGCCACGAGACCGACTGAAGGTCTCCAGAAAACGAGGCCCTGAAAGATTATTCAGCGATAACTCGAATGGTTAATAGATCGATGAGTACATTATAATCTAAGAGCAGACAATCATTAAAGGGTGGGGAAAAAAAGAAATAAGATGAACTAGTCTATGTTACCTTTCATGTCTTACTGCCTCAGCTATCATGGCATCGATCACAACATCAGCCATGGCTGATCCCAAATTTTGTACAGTCAACAAAATCATGAGATACAGACTTGAACTTCGCAAGGACAAATCTAGGCCTAGCAAAAGCCATGGCACAAGAGACAGCACAGTTGAAATCATCAAGTATGGTGTCCTCTTTTTCCGTCTGATTGGGATACAATCGGAAATGATTCTGCCAAAACACAAGTGAAAAGAAACAATGTATCATTCCTGAAGATTTCTGTATGAGAAAGAAGACATGCTCTCATCGACAATGATGCAATCTTGATTCGTACTGACATCCCTCGAGACATGTAATGCCACAAATCACATTATACAAAACGTGATTAGTAAGTGATCCAAGATTATTTGTATATTCATACCCGTATAATGGTTTAATGCTCCATGGAAAGAATGCTACAGAAAAGACGAACTGAGAAGCTGATGGTGACAACTGAAGCCTGTCTTTCAACTGGTATGAAACAGCAGTCCAGACAAAGGATCTAAAACCCTATATTTATAGCAGAATCCATGGGAAAAGAAAAAAAAAACAGAATCAGTAAATCAATTTGATGAAACACAGGGAACAAGATTATCAAAAATATATAACAGCACAACCAAGCTAGTTCTGTTCCTTTTGAATTTATCTTCCAATATCACACAATAGTACGAATTCATAACACAACCATGAACAATTTTCACTTCACCCTCAATTTATAGCACTTAAGATGTCTGAATGATCTATGAACAGCGATGGAACACATGAGAATTCATAAAAACAGAGAAAAAAGGGACAGATTTGACTGGTAAACTGTAGTTCTGTTCCAAAAGAATACAAAAGCAATCAGATAAAGCGTTTCGAACCAGAAATTTCGAATCCCTAATTGAGTCTCTCTCCATTACCCAACATAGAAAATTAGATTTCGCGTAATCAACGTCACAACAGCACGCGACAAAATCACTCTTGACAACAGTTCGTTCCTTTGGAATCTCCATCTCCAGATTGGTCCGAAACAACAATAGAAATCATACGATTCGGAGAAAGGAACAGAGATCAAAACCTGGGTGAAGTAAATAAGGCAAACGAGCCACAGAAACGCGATACCAAACGCCGATCTCAGCTGCTTTATCCAATGTATCATCTTCAAGTGAAAGAATAGCAGGTTTTATCTTCTATTTCGTATCATCAAAGTTTCTCTCACTTTCTCGAGAAAAACCTCTGTTTCTCTTAACGGTTCTCTATTTTCCCCAGCTATGAAATTTCTTCGTCCCGACATTAATTTTCAGTTATGCCATTGCTTAAGCACGACGACCGTAAGGGCGGTTTCGTAATTTCGTGCCTCCGATGTTCTGGTGTTTGGGACACGTTGTTGAACCTGTAAGACGTCGACATGTCATCAGTGGGACCCACAATACGATGACCGTCGCCTGCCTACGGTCACCGACATGTGACATTACTCTCTTGAACTTTGAGTTTGACTATTTCCCACATTAATCACATTCATGACCAATTTCCAATCTATTTCCCAAAAGAAAAAAAAAGATTGAGAAGTTTGAATTTGCCTTCAGGTACTTCCACATGAACATTTTCAAGTAAAAGAGTTTCTCCTCATTATTGCCAAAGGGTTTTTAACATGCCAAGTACCCTGTCCTTTTCAAGCCTTTAAGCTTTCTTGCTTCTGATTCTTGAATCAGCAATAGGAAGGAGAGTTTTCAGGTCGATAGACGAAAGGCTTGACATTGTGAAAGTAACCCGAGGGTCGTTTATAAGTGAACTTGATCCCGGCACTGCCAGGGCTCGGCCGGTTGCAGAGCTCATGGAAGCTGCTGATGGGTCTGGCAAGGCAGGCGTCCCACCGCTCGCTCTCGGGCATGGTTTCAGCCACTGTGTATACGCCTTTGGAGTTCGTGAACGCTTGGTAGTTCACAACCTCTCCGGATTTGGTTATGCAAAGAACTGCAACCTCCGCCCCTGCGGTAAGAAGGATGAAGAAGAAGATTGAGAACCTTTTGTACTGATAGTGTTAACACCATATAGACAATTTACTATCAGAAAGGCTGTGTTTTGTGATACAAGCAAGTGACTAGGAAGAACGGTTTCGGCAAACACATGAAAAAACTTCAACTTCAAGCGTGAATCTTTTCGCATGTGAACGGGAAATAAGCGATGAACAATGTCTACTTCAGTGTGTAGATACCCTACAGGATCAACGAGTATGTGAAGGAGAAAAGATAGAACAAGATAATAAGAGGATCACAACAAGCTATACCAATGGCCATACGGATGGACAACAGTGCAGATGGAACTTAACCCAGGAATGGAACACAGCTAGGATTATAATTTGTTTGCTCTGCATACGGATGGACATGCATTTCACTTGTTTGAGGTCATAGATTTTGGTCATATCTGTTATGGGAACTCTACAAGACGAACTGGAAATCATTACAACGAGTGGGCGATATAGAAAAAGCCCTGAAAACCACAACAATCTCAATACTCAGTTCCTGTCAGGTTAGAGACAAAACAAACCAGAATCGCTCTCAAGCTTCTTCCTTAGTTATACTCAACGGTCAAAGCCAGTTCAATCGACGATCCGTAAGACCCAATTGAGAGAAGAAAAAAGAACAGAAGTAACAACACAGAGAAAAAGGTGGCTAGTAGATTAGTCTATGGAACTGTTGAAACAAATTGAGATCAATTTCTGAAATCACACCAATTTCATGCGTGAGAATCTTTGGAGTCCACTGCTTACAACCAATGATCAATCCAAACACAAAGCAACAGTCTTTAGCAAGGGCCCTTTGAAAGTAACCCAATCTTTAGAGACAAGTTCAAAGACTTTCGGACAAACAAAGATCGATATTTTTTCCATCGAATTGGGTAATTGAACATCTGAAATCTCAGAATGGAAGAGAGAAACAGAGACAGACCTTCGAGAACGTGGTCTTCGGGTCCGATTGAAGAATCACCACAGACGTCGCAGACAACCCTGCCGCGAATCTCACCAGTCCATGCGCCGACACCTGGAGCTCTGAAGATTGCAACTATCAGGAGCAGACCCAGTACGAGATTGTTCGTGCGCAAGTCCATGAATCCGAAAGCGGTGCGAAAGCTCGATCCTTTCTTCTCCTGACGCAGAAATGGAGACCGACGAAAAAAAAACTGGAACTCGTCACTGGTGAGCTGTGATCCTCCCCTCTCAAGGCAGAAACCACCATACCTTATTTTCCCCCATTAAATCAGCTTTGGTCAAAGTCAAGACTCTCTGTCTCTATCCAAGGGTTATTATACGATTGTAAACTGCAGTAAAACTGAAAAACATGGGGAAATGTGAGAAACATTAATAATTTGTTCAATTAATTGGATTAATAAGAAATTCACCAAAAAACTTATTTTTTCCTTGCAGGATCCATCAGGTTCCAAGTTCATCTCATCACCTTCAAGAAACCTTTTTGTTTTCTTACAGTATCTTATATACGGTTTTAAGAACACGACATGATAAGAGATCCATTGTTCGGTAAGAACAGTGGAAGTACCGTACAGGTACAGTACACTTTGATCATCAACTCATCTGAAAGTCTGACAAACACAGGAAAATATCCATTGTTAGATAAGAACAGTGGGTGGAGTGATTGATCGATTTATTTGTCGAAATGTTGAGGGTCGATGTCCCAAGCCGAAGACAGCTGCATTACGAGCTGTTCAGGAGGAGGACCCTCCCATTCCTCAGGAGGTTCCATTGTCGCACACGAATCTTGCAAGTTAAGCAAGATCTCTGTCTTCAACTCCATTGCTACTCCGAACACGTCTGGTCCTTCTTGTACAATCACTTCCAGGAGCTGCAAGAACGAGAAAAAATCGGTATCTGGTTAGCCAAGAACTGATTCTGTGGTTTCAATCCGAAGCATCTGATGTTGAAGGATATGTATGTACGTATGTACGTGTGTGTACCTGTTGGATCCAAGATAAGCAGATGTCGTAGAGGTTGTGATCCAAGAGAAACTGTGCAATGGCGTTCAGAGCCTCACAAGCGATCTCATTGGACAACTGATCGATAACAGGACCTGTTCTGTCCATCAGCTTGATGAGGAGGTGATGGTCACCTATGGAGAGAACTTCAGCATAAGCCGAATCCATATCACCCACACGGAGTGAGTGCATTGCGTTACTCCAAGAAGTCCATATCGGGTCTCGTTCCTGCAACCCGTTTTCGTCTTCTGCCATGGCCTCGGCTTCAGGAACAGCGGCCACACGAGCTGGTCGAAAGCAAGATCTCTGTCTTCAACTCCATTGCTACTCCGAACACGTCTGGTCCTTCTTGTACAATCACTTCCAGGAGCTGCAAGAACGAGAAAAAATCGGTATCTGGTTAGCCAAGAACTGATTCTGTGGTTTCAATCCGAAGCATCTGATGTTGAAGGATATGTATGTACGTATGTACGTGTGTGTACCTGTTGGATCCAAGATAAGCAGATGTCGTAGAGGTTGTGATCCAAGAGAAACTGTGCAATGGCGTTCAGAGCCTCACAAGCGATCTCATTGGACAACTGATCGATAACAGGACCTGTTCTGTCCATCAGCTTGATGAGGAGGTGATGGTCACCTATGGAGAGAACTTCAGCATAAGCCGAATCCATATCACCCACACGGAGTGAGTGCATTGCGTTACTCCAAGAAGTCCATATCGGGTCTCGTTCCTGCAACCCGTTTTCGTCTTCTGCCATGGCCTCGGCTTCAGGAACAGCGGCCACACGAGCTGGTCGAGTGATCGTACCACCCCCCCCCCCAGCCACTCTGATTGCTTCGAGAGTGGCTTCATCTTTTGATGCTTGCCACACGCTTCTCGCTGAAGGCCCTTCCCCGAATCTGACAGACCCAGCTGCTTTATTCCAGCCTCTCCTCCCATTTCCGAAGTGATCATTCTCGTGTTCAGATCTAGGCGATCTTCTTGACCCGTTTCTAGAAGCAGCATAAGGAGGTATGCTCCAATCATCTGCCATGTCAGATGTCCATGTCCTTCCCCTCATAGTTCCATCAGGGTGGGAACCTCTGTCTCCTACTGGGGCTCGGCCGTTATACTTTGAGGTCGGATAATTAGGGAAGCCACCGTATTTTCCAAATCCAGTTGGGAGGTTTGCCCTCCTCCCTGATGATATCGAAAGATCCCTCGCCATGTCTTCAACAATCCTCTCTAAACCCCTTACTCTGTTCTCTAAAGTCACCATACTGCCATGAGATCCCCCAATGAATTCTTGGACCATGTTCATGAGATTAGCCTGTTGTCTCTCCAGCTGCAATAACTGCCTCTGGATGGCTGACCAATTTCCTCTATTATTTCCAAGGGATCCTTCAGATTGGCTGTCGATATCTGATACTGTAGTATGATTTGTGGATGTATCCTTTTGGTTCATACTATCCTTGGCAATGGCCTCACCAGCTGTGCCTGTCCGGGATTCCATCCCATCAAATCTTCTTTCTGCCTGTTTATTACTTGTCGTCTCAAAACTTGGGAACTTGGAATTTGGAAATCCATGGTCACCCACCTTAACATCTTTAAAATGATTTGAACTTCTCATATCAACATCATTATGTCCAGATTCCTCCGTAGTGTTCATGTTGGAAACATTTTTATTCCCACGAGGAACTACAACTTCCACAGGCAAATCACCAGATCCCCTTCGCTCGAGTCTTTGAAAAAATTCTGGGTTAAGCTCTTTGTCACTTAAGGCGGGTGCTTTCTTCTTCAACATCACTACTGCCTTTTCAGGAATACCTCCTTTGCCTTTACAACTAGAATCCAGATTGAGTATGGAACCATCAGGTGCCTCTTTCTTCATCAGATCGGCTAGGTTAGATCTTTCCTCCCCGATCTTTTCAGAGCCAAGCTGCTCAACAGATGAAGGGCTTTGCTCATCTACTGCACCATCTACACATTTTCCACCAATCTTTTTCCACAACTGCAATGCCTCAGTCATGCTGTCCCTGACAGGTTTTATCTATTCCAAAGATCATCATTAAACTGTCAAGAGTAAACATCATTCCAACTCTAAGTTGACTAATTTTACACTAATGCATGCCGTTATAACATCAAAATCGAAATGAACAATGAAGACAAAAGAACTCCAGGATCCTTGCTTACTCATTCCATTTTTATTGTGATAATTGAGAAAAGCACAAAAGCACCATAAAGTATCATGCTTTGTAATGAATTATGCAGTAATAGATACAATCTATATAATATACAATACCTTGTCAAAACGACATGCCTCGAGCGTGGTGAGAGTGGAATCAGCTTTATCTTTAACTAAACTGCTTGAATGTAATGCTAAGGCAATCAAGGCCTCTGCTGCAGCCTTTCGTGTCGCCCAATCTGTACTTCCGAGACATCCATGGATGCTTTCGAGCAACGAATCCAAGCTCTGAAGTGTAATTGCTCCGACCTGCACCAGAACGTTCGCACTTTACTTCTCTATTTCAAAAACAAACTTTTATCCACTGAATGCCCAAAACCCTTCTCAAGTCATTTGTCTCTTCTTGATTAATCAATTGAGACAGATAACCTCAAAACCCATCTACTCCTAAAACAGAGTTACCAAAACCTTTTTAGGGCTGAGCTTAAGATTTCATGTCAGTGCGACCAGTTCCAAAATCCAGACTTTTCACCCATTCAGTAAGACAAGCATAGTGTGAATCGACTCAAGGTGACAAGAAGAATCAGAATTATGCAAACCTGAGACAAACTCGCAACAAGAGGTAAAAGAGAAGACTTGGCCATGAAATTTGGATTGCCCAAGAGCTTGCAGATTCTAGGACAAAGCTTCTGGAAAGCAGCAACCTGAGGATCAGCAGCAGATTCCACCATCTTAGCCATACACAACGCCGCAGCAGATTGCACCGCTTTGTTCTGCTCTCCCATTGCTTCGAACAATGGCTTCACGAACAGCCCCACCACCGACGAGGCCGTGCCGACATTGTTCCCCTCTTCCTTGCCCTTCAGATAAATCCCAGAAAGCGCACCAATCGCGTCGCGACAAGCATCCCTGACTCCCGAATCGGAATCCTTCAACCGTTTCACAATCTGACCGATAATCTTCGTCAGGTGGGCCGCCGTCGAGTCGGTATGGAGGCTGCAGACGTAGGAGAGTAAGCGGAGACTCTCCTTCTTCACGGCAGGTTTCGGATCGGAGCAGGAATCGTAGAGGCAGTTCAGGAGCATCGGTAGGGTTTCCGGCGAGAGAGACTGTATGGTCTTCTCGAGATCTTCGACGGCGATCTGGTGAGTATCCCGGTCGGCGAGCTTGGAGAGAGAAGTGAGGATCTTCTGCTTCAGCTCCACCATTGCGAGATGGGAGGAGAGAGAAGCGGAGGCGGAAGAGGACGACCTCGCCGCCGCGCCCAGCGGTTTCGCCGACCGCCCCGATCTCGCCCCCGTCGCCGGTGTGCTCATTCCGGCGAATCTCGACGCGAGAGATGCTGCTGAAGAAGAAGGTATACGAGATCTGACACGGGGAGAGTCACGGTTAAGGCTGAAGAAGAAGACGATGCATCAAAATCACTGAGAGTGTTTTATCACTTCACTATTTTAAATTTTAAATGCGATCAACCTACTAAAATTATTTCGATTTACTACAGACAAATACCAAAATTTCGAGATTTCAATAGGATTATATATCGCATTTCTTAATTAAAATAAAAAAATTCCAAAAAACCCAACTTCCCCATTTTCACAAAATAAAACTTAAATTTTATTTTTTTATCAAATTGAATATCAATTTCATTTTTTAAGAAAAAATAAAATTTAAACTTTACAATCATTATCATTTTTCAATTTAAATATTGACTTACCGATATTCTATGTAATAAATCAATATTTTGATTATATATAATATATCATTAGTTACGATGTCACAATATCATTATGCTGCATCAATTATAGGTTTTAAAATGACAATTGTTATAAAATTGAGATTTATTTATAAATCAAAAATTATTTTTTTAGTAAAAAATAAAATGTGAATTTTATTTTGTAAAAATTGACAAATTCAAATATTTTTTTTTCAATTTTTTCATTAAAATTTAAGTATAGTGATAAGGGTGATTTTGATTCAAAATTCTTACATAGATTTTAAAAAAGTGAATATAATAATCCTAAAACTGCTAATTCAGAAACGGAGTTATTTTCAAAATTGATTATATATGTTAGGGAAAAAACCTACAAAATCTCGAACTTTCAAAAGAAATATACAAATAAATCTTCAATTTATAAAACTATCATTTAAACTCCAAACTTGCAGTATATAAATGAATAAAACTTCGAACTTGCAAATTGTTGCTCTAATAACCCGTTTACCGGTTTGCCCATAATTTCAGGTGATCGGAAATCCATGTTGGCCTGAAAAATTGATGTCAGTATATCCGCATAACCAGTTTTAAATGATTTTTTGTCACATCAGTATTTTGTGGGTCAAAATTTAATTCGGTTTGAGAGTAAATAAATCCGATTTTGGAGCAAAAATCATTTAAAATTGGTTACGTGGATACTATGACATAGTTCTTCGGGCCAACGTGTATTTCCGATCACCCGAAATTGTGGTCAAATAGGTCAATGGGTTATTAGAGAAACAATTTGCAAGTTCGATGTTTTATTCAGTTACTAACTGCAAGTTTGGAGTTTAAATGACAGTTTTACAAGTTGAAGGTTTATTTGTATATTTTTTTTAAGTTCGAGGTTTTTTTAAAGGTTTTTCCTAGATGTTATTGATCAATCTATTTTATCCCAATCCATTTAGATTATATGATTTAATCGGTAGGTTAACCCAAACCAAATTAAAAAATATATAAATTAGTTTAATCCATTAAACCTAATTAAATCATTAGTTTTATATTTCATATTATCTAGAATTTAATTTCTATTAAAATTTGATTTGGATTCGTTTCTATTCCAATCGATTCTCTTTGCTCATTTCGCTTCGTACCGATTCAAGATCAATTTATTTTGATTTAGATCAATTCAAATTCGTTTCTTTCCGATTCGCTTTCAATTCGAACTGATTCATTCCGATTCAAATTCAATTTATGTTGACTGAAATTCAATTCGAATCAATTTGGTAGATTCAGATCGAATCGATCGTTTTGACTCGTTTTGAAACGAATTTGATTCAGATCAATTTGTTTCGATTTGAATCAAAATCCATTTGATTCGTTTCGATCCGAATTCGATATTTATTATAAATTTTTCCATTTCTAAAAGAAATTTTTGATTTTTTGGTTATTTTTTTTAGTTTGTGTTAATTTTTTTATTTTCATTATTTTTTGGATATTTAAAATATTTAGTATTTATTTATTAAAATTGAAAAGTTTGAGATTGTTTTATTTTCCTTAATAATAACTAATGGCAAAATTAGAATTGATGGAGGGCCGAGGAAAATGCGCTTCAAATTAGGATGGGTTTATTGGGATTCGGGTCAGAATTTTAACAGTTCGGTTCGGGAATAGTTTATTCAGTATTCTAAAAATCGTATCAAATTAGTACTATATATTATTCGGTTCGGTTTGTTTTCGATTCCGATACGGTTCGGTTTCAGTTTTTGTTAAAAAAATTAGATTTTTTTTTAAAAAAAATTATATTTTTCAGAAATTTTATAAGATTCGGTTCGATTATGAGAAATTCGATTCTATAAAAATTATACTGAACGGTACAATTCGAAAAAAAAAATACCGAAAATTTTTGTTCGGTGCAAACGTCCACCCCTACTTCAAATGGGTGCACATAGCATTTTTTAAAAAGTATTTTTGATATATTTCCTTCAAATTAGATATAAATTGAACTGTGAAGAGATTTATTGTATAATGTCTTATTATTTCTATTGATAAACGATAACAAAAAAAGTATCTTAACAAGAGTGGCATTGTAGTTATAAAAAAAAAAAAGAGTGCCATTGTAAGACAGCGGGAGAATAAAGTAGCTTACAATGCTTCGGCAAAGCCCGATTGCTAGCAAGGCCCAACAGCTGAGGCTTCGCAACTCCGGTTTGGTTTCTTAATGATGTGATACGATTGGTTGGCGTGTTAGAAATTTTCCGGTTTATACCGGTTTAGATTGGTTCGGTTTGATTTATTTATGTTACTTGCTATTTACTACCTACAATATTACTTCTTACGCAATTCGAAAATTGGATATAGCAAAAGGTGATTTTATTATTTATTTTTGAATTTGAAAGGTTAAAATAAAATTCGAAGAGAAGTTTTTTTTTTATATATAATTCAAAAGGATGTAATTAGATATAATCTCTCTTTTAAAAAAAATGCGATCTATACTGAAAATATAAAGTGATTTGTAGTCGAGAGATATGACAGGTTCTTACGTACTCCTCGACAAATAATTCAATCGAATTTACTTAAAATAATGATATTATAAATTTTAATGTATTCGGTGATTAATAATAATAATCCTAACTATTTTGTTATTTTTTTTTTCAATTACAAATCACTGTATAATTTTTTCTTGGGGAAACTGGTAGGGGTGGCCAATTCGGATTTCGGTTCGGGTTCGGTTCGGTTATATTCGGGTTCGGTTATTTCGGTTATAGAAAAACTATAACCATTCGGTTTTTATATAAATTCCGGTTCGGTTCGGTTTGGTTATTTTTCGGTTCGGGTTCGGTTCGGTTTTGGTAAAAAGTTCAATTTTTCAAAGAAATTATCGGTTATTCTATTGGTTTTTCGGTTATTTTTTATTCGGTTCGGTTCGGTTTCGGTTTCGGTTTTTCGGGTTTAAAAAAATCATAACCGTTCGGTTTGGATACGGTTATGTCTTATTCGATTCGGTTCGACTCGATTATTCGGTTAATAACCGAAATGGTCACCCCTATATACTGGTGTCCTATGTGTACATAGCTTGAGTTATTTGTACTTCCGAAGGCTCTATTACACCATACACGACTATACTATTTTATTAATTTTGAAAATACTATAAATTAAATGCATTATCTTAAAGACAAAATAAATAAATAAATATTAGCATTATCCGTTCATCAATGAAACAGAGACCAACTCCAACGGTCACATTACACTTGACTTTCGTCGCCTCAATTAATATATTATACATAATTTATAACTATAGCATATAGTTTCGTTTATTTCTGAAGCGTTGATTGTATATGGACATACGAAATTAAAAAAATGTAAATTGTATACATAAATTTTAATTATATATAGATGTTAAATCAACAAAAGTTTGTATTTTTATATCAAATAATAATATTTTTAATAAACTTATAATTATAATGCGGACGGACCTCTATATCTCCAAGTCTATGCGTGACGAGATTCCTGTACAGTACACGTATCCAAAAGGTCGGAGGACCATACAGGACCAATCTAAACAAGAGACCACTTATTATAATGAAGCGGTCCACACATTTGCATTATTGTTTTGAACAAATTAAAAAATATTTTTTTTCTTAGAGAATAGTTACCGATTATTATAACTGCTCCAAAACGTTCCAAAATATATAATTTTCAACACTTTCAACATTTGAACCCTACGTAAAATAAAACAAACATGTTACAGTTTAGAAATGTTTATTATATAGTTGATTGATCAAACCTTTTTTAGAATATATTTTTGTTAATACTTTTCTGATTATTGGAATACTAACACTGTTTTTGAATTGAAAGAATAGTTTAATTATACCTCATGGAATGTTTACATCAAATAAAGATTTAACACTACAAATGTGAAATAACTAACTTCATTGTGTTCTAAATAAAAATATGTAAATAGAAATATAATCTATATATGTAAACAAGTTTATGCAAGTAAAGAAATAACAACACCTATTGACAAAAATGAAACCCTCACTCAAATCCTAAATTTCTTTTCTTGAAATCCATTTTAAAAAACGAATTTTGCGTCGGTCCAAATATCTATTTACTATTCGACAACATTTTTGTTAATTTCAACAAAAAATTTTTTTTTTTGTTAATTATCCAATTTGGATAGTTCAATATTCCGTCGAGTTTGAATCTCAAATTGGGAAGAGGAACGTATATTATAATCCGCTTGAGTTTGAATCTCAAGTTGAGAAGAAGAACGTATATTCTAATTACATGTCTTGTTTTCGATCCCATGATTAGTTTGGATCTCGGTACATGATATCCGGTTAAAAGTATATTTTTATTAATTTACTCATGTACGTGTAATGAAGGGGAGCCTTGTTGCACCGGTTAAAGTGTTGTCGTTGTGACCTAGAGGTCACGGGTTCGAGTCTGGAAGTAGCCTCTTGCAGAATATTCTGCAAGGTAAGGTTTGCCTACAATACACCTTTGTGGTGGGACCTTTACCCGGATCCCCGATCAATAGGGATGTTTTGTGTACCGGGTTGCCCATTTTCTTTACTGTGTAATCATCTCGATGAAAACGAAATGTTTCGAGTTCGGATTGTGTATTACAGTATATTGTATATAAAGTGTATATGTGAGTAAAACCTGCGTTAGAAGAAGAAGGTTTGTATTCAAACAGAGTATTTATACTCAGAGTAGTACATCGATCAATTCAGAATGCATAATTCACCAT